TTCTGTGGTCAGATGAGTCACGATTTGAAGTTCTTTATGGAACACTGGGACGCCATGTCATCAGGACCAGAGAGGACAAGGATAGCCCAAGTTGTTATCAACGCTCCGTTCAGAAGCCTGCATCACTGATGGTATGGGGTTGCATGAGCGCTTGTGGCATGGGCAGCTTGCATGTCTGGAAAGGCACCATTAATGCAGAGAACTATGTTCAGGTTCTAGAACAACATATGCTCCCATCTAGACGTCATCTCTTTCAGGGAAGACCCGGCATTTTTCAACACGATAATGCCAGACCACATTCTGCAGCAATCACAACATCATGGCTACGTAGGAGAAGGATCCGGGTACTGAAATGGCCAGCCTGCAGTCCAGATCTTTCACCTATAGAGAACATTTGACTCATCATAAAGAGGAAGGTGCGACAAAGAAGGCCCAAGACGATTGAAGAGTTAGAGGCCTGTATTAGACATGAATGGGAGAGCATTCCTATTTCTAAACATGAGAAACTGGTCTCCTCTGTCCCCAGACGTCTGAGTGTTGTAAGAAGAAGGGGGGATGCCACACAGTGGTAAAAATGGACTTGTCCCAACTTTTTTGGGATTTGTTGACGCCATGAAATTTGGAAACAACAGATTTTTCCCTTAAAATGATACATTCTCTCAGTTTAAACTTTTGATCTGTGATTTGTGTTCTATTCTCAATAAAATATTAGATGTTGGCACCTCCACATCATTGCATTCAGTTTTATTCACAATTTGTTTAGTGTCCCAAGTTTTTTGGAATCCGGTTTGTAGATAGATAGATAGACGGATGGACGGACGGACGGACGGACAGACAAAAAGATAGATAGATTAAACTCTTTTTAATGTTACACTCCCATACTGCAGTGATGGTTTCTAGAACACATTAAAAATACTGAGCTCTGTTCCAAACAAATAGTAAAATTTTTCCCATGCTTTTTTTTTTTAATTGATAAATATTAACAAATACATCAAGTTTACATTTGACACTAAACATCTTCTGATATTTGAAAATTCCATACAATTTTTTTTTTTACATTATCACTAAATGTGTTTAGTATGTACAAAAAAGTTTGTATTATATTTACATAAATATTCATTCTGTTTTAAAATCCCAAAGCTAATTAAATAAATGTAAAAACATAAAAATAAGCACAAGGTTGTAAAGCAAAAAATCAGATCTTTTGAAATGGGTTTGTGTAAAAATATTATGAACCATAAATATCTTACCTGTTGTATGGAGATCTTTGAACAGCCCCAGTTTGTAGAAATGTAATTTAATTTTAAACTAATTCTAACAAGCTAACAGGGTGTCTAAGTGGGGCCAGAACAAAAATAGACTGATGTTGTTTTTAAACAACTTGGGTCTCAAAACCTTCATAGTCATTCACTCAAACATTTTTTTTAAAACATTTAAAAAGCTGTATTTCATTGTGTGTGTATGTTTTTTTTTTAGACTACATTTTTTCTTTAGGATGGCAGCAATTTATTCTCTAAGTCCCACTCGCACTAGTCATTAGTTCAACAGTACTGTCACATTGAAACTACTCCACCAAACTGAAGTCATTCAGATAGCTATTGATAACAGGTAAGATGTTAACTGCTTAAGAGGCATTCACAGAACCCACCTCTAAAGGTCTGAACTTTTAACCTCGTTATACAGTTATAAAAATAATTATTTATACACTTTATTTTATCTGGGCAACACTATCATTCCATTTTACTTTGTCATTCAGTCTAAGACAGACCCCCCCCCCCCCCCCCACACACACACACACACTCAGACAGATGCAGTCTGTGAAGTGCTTCTGAGAAAAGATGCACTCGTCGTGAAAGGCATGTTTGTGTTGGGACAAAACAGAGAGAGGGAGATAAAGAGCGAACGAGAAGTGCAGAGAGGGGGAGTGACAGAAATTATTACAGTAATTCCTTGTGTCGCTGCCTGGAGATATGCTCTCCATCACTCCTCTTTTATCTTGTCCCTTGCTCCTCTCTCAGGCGTCTATCTGCCACGTAGCCTGCCTAGGTCTTTTTTTTTTTTTTTTTTTTGTTTGCTTTGCCTTTCGCTTTAGCTCCTGCTCACCTGTAGTTTCTGCTTCTCTGCCCCTTTTGTTTTCTTGTCTCTGAATCCTGAATGTTTCGTTTCTGTTCACAGGGTCAGTTGTTCGCTCAGCTGTCAGTCACGTTGTCTGATCTTTGTGCTACTCCCCTTTTCAATCAGCTGTTTGTTTACCAACTCGTGCAGACACATAATTACTATAATTCAAACACTTAAGCAGCATCACCTTCAGTTTATCCGTTTCATTGTTGAAATGTTGTCATTTTCTCTCTTAAATTAGTCATGAGTCAACATGAGTCTTTCACTGAGACACCTCAGACGGATGAACACTGGACAAGTGTACACTTATTTCTGACTCTCTTCCATATGAGAACTCAAACTTATTTTTTGGGATTTGACTGACTCTTTTTTTTTTTTGTGTCCCAACAGACACTGTGGAGAAAAAACAATATCTTCTGATCGCATTTACAGTAAACTCGGTAAGGTCAAAGGTCATTTAATTTTTTGTCATGACTGTTATTGATTCAATGCATATTGACAACAACATTTAAGACTTTTATTTTCTATTTAAATGTTATATAATGTAAGTTTGCTATAATTTTATGGTTTATTTTATTGCCTTTGCTTTTGATGTACCAGTATATGTTTATGTATATTAAGCTCATGTCAAAATAAATATGATTTAAAAAACGGTGGCCAATTTATAGTTAATGTAGAGCACTATTCAACTGGTGGCTCAGGGGCCAAATCAGGCCCACGGATGAACTCAGTTCAGTCCACCAATGGGTTCATTTGAAATAAAACCAGATTTTACACCATAAAACAAACTTACTTAATGACAATAAAGTGCTGGGTGTGGCCCCTGAGCTCTTGGCTGCAGTAACTGTGGCCCCCTGAGATATTTAGTTGACTAGCCCTGCTGCAATAGCAGTGTTTTCAATTGTTTGTTCAGGCCTTTTTTTTTTTTTTTTCCAATTACCACGCCAGCAGCTGATAAAGTCACCATCTAATTTAGAGTAAAAGTCTTGTGAGGCATTTATTGGGCACATGGCTGTTTTCAATCCATATAGCTCAAAAACTGAGATGGTCGCACATAAATAACTGGAGAAGAGCGTCTGTGGTTGAGTTGATATAGAGCACACACATTCTGACAGCTTTAACACACAACAGGACTGGGATGTCTTATTACAAAGACTCATAATATTGACCACAGTCTTGGGGCTTTAAAGTTGCTAAAATGTTGCGCTAGCAGCTAATCTGAACAGAGCCAGTGTCAAAGTGGATTTCTGCCTTCCTAAAACAGCAACAATCTCAGTTTTATAGAGGTTCATGCATGTTGCATTAGATGAATGTTTATATACGAGTTTATATTAATTTAGAATGAAGAATGACTTTTTTTGGTATACCAAAAATAATCACTGTATATTAGACATTGACTAATGAAATGTTAATTGTATTTAGCTAGATTAACCATCAAAACAAAAGTAAGGCTGTATAGGAATCATTGAATTAATTATGATTACTATGATTATGTATAAATGTTTTTATGACTGTACTTTTTTTATTGTTTTCTCCTTTGATTTTTATTGTCTGTTTGCTTTACGTGGCTTAAATAACCCAGTTTAGTTGTGTGGGTGAACCTTTGCAGTGACAATAAAGAACAACTCTCTAAAACAGCATTTGCAGGAACCACAGTGAAAGATGTGAGACTGGGATAGTTTTAGTATTATAATGAATCCTGCTCGTCTTGGACTCGCTCTGACTAATCATTAGCTTAGCAAATTTAAGCTCTGTTTCTCCGAACATAGGGTCGGGGGCTAACCACAAATAGTAAGGCAATATTTGTTCATAATCTTTCCACAGATATTCCCTTAAACATAATAAAAAAGCAAACTTTTATTTGAAAGAAATAGAATACAGTTTTAATTAGAAGAGTCAAATAGCCTGTGGGGGAAAAATGCGTATATGCTTACTTGACTTTTAGACCTAGATAACTCCAAAGTGCTTAAAACTCCCACCAGAGGAAGGCTCAACACTAGACATTTACTGAGATGGTCTGCACTGCAAACATTGCACACCATTATACCAACATGAACACCAAATTGCATTTTGAAAAACTGTTTAATATACAGTAGCTTTGCCACCTAACAAATCGAACAAAATTTACTAGACTGTGCTCTCAAAGGCTCAGATATGCAAATATAAATAATGTGTTAAAAATATATTGTTTTCTTTTTTTATTAAAACATCCTGAATTCTCCTAGACCTCTAATGCATTATATGTGGATACAGAAGGCTTTGGGCTAAGTTTAGAAAATGTTTACCAGACCACAGTTTGAGTCAGACATGCCAAAAATGCCCTAATCACTAGGACTAATAGGACCAGCCCAGCTCCATTTGTTTTTATTTAATTATTTTACCAAGCTACAAACCGCAGGCAAGCAGTACATCCTTAATCACAAACACACACACATGCATGCACACATATACTGTACACATATACAGTTACCACGGCCAAATATCTGTGGCTGTCTTCTGCCTGCTATCAGTCTCAATCCAAAGCAATTTCACACAGCGATAAAACAGACACACTATCTGACAGCCAAAGGAAGCTGCAGCAAGAGAGAAAGAAAGTGCAAGTGTGTGTGTGTGTGTGTGTGCGTGTGTGTGTGTGCAGATGTGAGAAGATGACGATAAGTTGAGCAATGAGGCCAGTCCTGCCTGGCAGATTAGCAGATCGTATTCCACTTTGGATGGGCTTCGTGAGCTAAAGATGTGTGTGTTTGTTCCTTTACCTCCTTAACAGTATTTTTACTTGTTCCAAGTTTTTAAATTGGCTTACTTTTATGTCCTGTTAAACAAGTTTTTTTTTTTTTTTTCATTTTTTATAACAATTGTGTGTATCTGCACCAAGGCAGGTATTTCACAGAAATACAGCATGATGTGAACATAAATTCAAGGTTATTCTGAAAATGATGTCAATGTTGAATTTTATGGACTAAAAGCAAAGTCAGTGTGACAATTAAATAGAACTGAGGTGATGGGCATGGGATGGATTACATGGAGAATGATGTGCACATTTTAAATTTCACCCATTCAAGAGATGAAGTTATTATAAGGGAATATAAAAGTTATACATCAATTTTAAATTTTTAACACTCTGAACACTTAGAAGTCTTGATTGAAATAAATACCTAGAACTGATGAACATAAAAGAAGTGCATGATATCTATATATTTATTCTGTTTATTAACCTCACAAATTGTATGTTTTTTCTTGCCATTCTTTTTTTTTCTTTTTCTTTTTTCTTCTGCAGAAACATTTGACCAGCCAGGTCATTAATGTCAATAATCCTCTGGCCCCTGCCGATCACGTACTCTTGGGTGTGATAAAGGTTTGGGGTGCGGGCAATGAGAAGATCACAGAGGCGACGTTGACTTCTGCAGGAGTACAACACCCACTCAAAACAGATCACAATCTCGAAAATCAGGTCAGCAGACTTTAGAATGGTTATGTAAACACCACTTGATTCCATTTATGCTTTACCTCTGTGGACACGTCTGTGCTGCCTTTACCTGTTTTCCTGTGTGTAATAGTACGGAAAATGTTGGTTACATACTGTAACCCCAGATTCTATGAGTATAGGCGTAGCCCTTTAAGGCTATCACTAGTGGGTTTATCCCTAGGCGCGCAGCGCAGCACTGAAAACTTTAGTCCACGCCCACCTGCTGTGTGGGCCTCACCCCCTGTCCGTATAAATTATGGTGAGACCGGGTAATCAGCTCCCAAATAGCTTTTTTCTTCAGCCATTAGGAACCAGTGAGGCCCAGAGCTTAAAGGGCTATGTCTATACTCATAGAATCTGGGGTTAGAGTACGTAACCAATGTTCTATTTCGTATAGGCTTGGCCCTTTAAGACTGTCGCTAGTGGGTTAAAGGCGAAGCAGGATGTAGTCTATGCCTCACTGGGTCCACTCAGACACAACATGAAGCACCTGCTTGCACAAAAGGACATTTCATCACTCAGCCTTCCTTCTGTGTGCGTTATTACGTGCTGCGTAATTGCGTGCTCCATGCGAAGGAGTGCACCGGAGAAGATCTCTGGTGTGGAAAAAAAGGCTGAGATAGCAGACCTGCTGCTGTGAATAGGAACAACGGAGGATACGAAAACAAAACTGGTTTGTTCCACTTTGGAGTAAGCTGTTGGGGGAAGAATCAGTTTTGTGTTTCCTTGACTGATGAAGCCTTCCAGATCGAAGGCAAAATGTTTTAGCACAAAAAAAGAAACTGTCCAGATGACTTGACTGAACAATGTTAGATTAATAACAAAAGTTACTAACACATTATTATTATTTTTTTTTAAGAAACTGTTTTAGATTCAAGATTCAAGGATTCAAGGTTTTTTATTTGTCATTCGCACCCCATGTGGTACATGTGGTGGAACAAAATTATGTACACAGGATCCCAGTTACATCCAAAAAAAAAAAAAAAAGTAAAAGAAAAACAATAATAACATATAAGATATGAACAAAGAAAAAAACATAAACTGAATATACACTAAGCACTAATAGCATAAAAATGTTACGCCGAACAGCAGCACAAACATGAGTCCGTGTGAGCAGATGAGGATGCAAAAACACATCAGCACGAAACAGATCAGCAGCAACATGATGTGATTTTTTCACAGTGATAATTCTAGTTAGAGATTCGTGAGTCTAACAGCTTTAGGGTAGAAGCTGTTCCTCAGTCTAGTGGTTCTACATTTAATGCTCCTCAACCTCCTTCCTGAGGGGAGTGGGGCAAAATGTGTATGTGCTGGATGAGTGGGGTCCTTCATGTTGCAGTTGGCCCCTTCCTGCATCTAGAGGTGTAGATGTCTATGATGGTGGGGAGACTGACGCCAACAGTCTTCTGTGCAGCCTTCACCACTCTCTGCAAAGCTTTTCTTTCTGCAGCTGTGCAGCCTCCATGCCACACGTTGATGCTGGAGCACAGGATGCTCTCCACTGCACATCTGTAGAAGGAGGTGAGGACTGAGCTTCCCAGACCAGCTCGTCTCAGCCGTCTGAGGAAGTAGAGTCTCTGATGAGCTTTCTTGATCAGGCTGGTAGTGTTGTTGCACCAGCTGAGGTTGTTGTTCAGGTGCAAACTCAAGTAATTGTTGCTGGAGACCACTTCCACCGCAGATATTCTTATTTTCAGGGGGGTGTCAGAATCAGAATCAGAATAAACTTTATTATCATTGCACCGAGTTACAACGAGAATATGTACGTACAGTCGTCCGAAAGATGGACGTAGTGCACAAAGCTGCTGCTAATTAATGTGGCCCTCTTATTCTTCCTCAGATTAATATGTTTGCTTAGATGAGAAAAGGGAAGAGAACATGAGAAGAGACAGTATATAAAAAGATTTCACACCTTGTCCTAGACAGGGCACGATTTGAGGCATAAAAAAAAAATAAACGACCACAGCATAGCACATAAATAGATGTGATACATGTGCATAAAGGCCGGTGAAGACAATTAATTTTAAAGGAAGGTCATAGCATAGTCCAGAGCCCTTCCCTCTCAGCCATTGTCCAGTTAAGAGGTGTCATTTATCATCAGCTTGGTTGAGGTTCCGTCACATGTCCTCATCCTTGTTGAAGGGAGGGCTGAGGAGACAGACAAAGCATCTTTGTTTTTCCTAAACATGCCAGGAGGGACTGAGATAAGTCCACCGTCAAGGCCACAGTTTGGGTCAGGCAGAACTCATAAATTGCCATTTCTGTCTTTTAAAGTCTTGCTGCTACATTTCTCTGATGGAGACTCCAAACATTTGAATTGATTCCTTGCCGAAAGTCAAGCTCACAGCTTTCTCTAAGATTATTCCCACCGTACATGGGTGCTGCCAGAAAGTTCACAGTCCTGATAACAGCCTGCTCCAGCTCTGACGCAGCTGCACATAATTCAGTCTGAGTGTTGCCACGTTTTAACACATCCACACAAATTTGTTGACAATCCTGATTTCATCAATCCAAACAGCAGAATCCAGTTGTTATTATGAATCCAATTTGTTTCTGTCGAGGTAAGAGGGTCCTCCTTACCTTGACTCATGTCAGGAGAAGTTGGTAAATTTTGTTGAGAGACCAGCTGATCATATCCTTCGAATTAGGAAGGTATGCAGGGAAAAAAAAGAGGCTCTTTAAGGGTTCACAAGACGAAAGAGAGCAAGCAGGGAAGCGAGGGGGGCGGAGCACAGGGAGACACGTCTGTCTTCACCGGAGCACAGAGAGAGAGGAAAACAAGTGCAGGAGTGTTTGTTCCTTCTGAAGTCCACGCCAGCTGCCGTCTAATTTGTCTTTAGGCACACACTAGCAGTTAACTTGTTAACTTGTTTAATCAGAACTTAGCTATTTATCTACACTCAGATTGTTGAAGCAGAGCTCTATAACATGGAATAATGTATTTATGTATTCATAACCTTTTAAAGGAACAACACTTTAAAATATCTGACTGCTTTGATTTGATAGCTGTGAAATGAAAGTCAAATCAAAGTGATTTTAGTATGTATTTATCTTTAGGTGAACTACAAAATAATACCGTTTACAGACAAAAAGGTTTTTGTTAAGAAAACTAAAAATATATAATAATGTAGATCTACATTTCCCCAAGACCTATGCAGAAAAACTTTTTTTTTTTTTCTTTTTCTAACTTTTGTTGATAAACTTTCACTGGTGTGTATACAAGCGTACAATTTCCTATTTATCTTCCATGTACTCCTGGTTGTATTTTTGCTCTAATAACCTCAATGTAAACATATTAGTCAATGTCTGACGTGTGTAATCTTTTGGTACATCACCATCGTAGCCCAGTGACCTTTTTTTTTTCTTTCATATTTTTATCTGCACTCTTACACGTGTTATGAACAAGCACAGTCTTTGGAGTTGACTGAGTATTCTCCAGCCAGCCGAAAATACTCATAAAAGTGAAAAAATAAAATAAAATCTCAGGTTCAACCCACCCCCCACCCCCACCCACACACACACACACACACACACTTGGCAGCACTTTCATCTAATAGCTGTAATCAGCGTTGGCTTTCCAGCAACACTGTTGTTTTTTCTTCATTTTGTAATAAACACAGACAGGAGGACTTGACAGAGGGAAAAGATCTGAAACGCTGCGAGTGTAAAATATCTTGTCTTTTAATGATTTATCCGAAAGAATGATATTGATAACAAGCATTTTTTTTTTGTTTTCTTTATTAGTAACACTTTACAATAAGGTACACAAAATTTGATAACTACTAGGGACCGCCTCAGGTATGAATTAGGAGCTTATGGGTAGTTAACCAGTACTTGCTGGGGACACACAGCCAAACCTTATTAGGGGACTACTGGTTTGTTACCACAGAAACAGAGGATGAATTATCCATGTAGGTTCTGAATAAACCCTGCGCCAGTGAGGTCACAGCTCAGACATAGTTAAGATGACATCAGTACAAAATTGTGAAATCAGTTCTTACCACTGATTAGTGGTAAGAATCCAATCACTAGGAAACAGGTGTTTGACAATTATGAGCTGTGACCTCACTGGTGCAGGGTTTATTTAGAACCCACATGGAGATTTTATCCTCTGTTTCTGTGGTAACAAACCAGTAGTCCCCTAATAAGGCTTGGCTGTTTTCCCCAATAAGTACTGGTTAACTACCCATTATCTCCTGATTTGTTCCTGATTCATTGCTGAGACATTCCCTAGTAGTTAATCATTTTTTTTTGTACCTTATTGTAAATTGCTACCCTTTTTTTGTAAAACCAACCCCTGTTAAAAATGTCATGGAACAAAGGGAAGGTTTTGACATTTTTAAGTGATGTTCCATCTAATAGTGTAAATGGTTAGCAACGTCAAGCTAGGCTAATGGTTTGTTGAGTTTGTTATTTTTGTCAACTCATCACAATATGAGTTACAATGTGTACGTATGTATTTACTCAACTTTTGGCAGACACATATATTTAGTCGGGATGGGGGTGATCCGATCCGGTATCGGCTTCCGATACCAGCATAATTTGCGTATCGGTATTTTCCGATCCAACCTGCAGAGATTTCTAATCCATGATGCATGTCTGTGTCTGCTGAAACGTCTCCACATGTGATTCCCTGCCGGCTGCTCTGCACATTTGCTTGAAAATATGGAATGGATTTCCTCAATGGAGGCATGTCTCATGAAACACAGAGTAATAAGACCCGCCTCATATTCAGGAAATCCTTTTCATAGTTTGCAGCCAGCTAAAACATGAGGGCTGAGCAGCAGCACTGTGGCGAATGGCTAACCAACTTTTCATCAAAACATGTCTGCTGTGTGGAAGTATTTTACACTAAATACTGCAAGACAGCAACGTGCAACGTCTGAGGAGCCAATGTACCGAGAGGAGGAAGCTCGGTCGCGACCTACAATACACTGAACTTAATGAACATTTGAAAAAGCACCACATCAAAGCACACAAGGATT